GCTCGCCTCCCAGCGCCCGGGCCCGGGGTGCTTGTCCGCGTCGGGCGGTTGGGCTCTGGCGCGGGGGTGCGGGCGGGAGGGCGGCAGGGCTACCCCGCCCCGCGGCCGGCGTCAGTCCGCGGGAAGTTTCGAGCTGCCGCTTTCCCCCTGCCCCGCACCATGCGCGCCCCAGGTCGCAGCGTGCTGGGGTCCCGGGGGTGTCGGGGAAGTGGGAAAGTGGCTCGGGGCGGCCCACGGGCAGGGGCCTCGGAGGCGGCTGTGCGGGCGCCAGGCCTGAGCCGGCTCCTCCTGCCCTCGCAGCCTCAAAGTGGAGTACGACAAGCTGGCGAACGAGAAGACGGAGATGCAGCGCCATTACGTGATGGTGAGTGGCGGCCGCGGCCCGAGGGCGCACACCCGGGACCCGGGCTCCGGACTGCGGTCCGGCGCGGCGGGGCGCGGAGAGAGCGTCCCCCAGCAACCCGGCCGCTGGCCACCCGGCAACTGGCGAGTGGAGGTGCCCTCTGCCCCTTCTGGGCTTCTCTCAGCAGCTTGGACGGGTGGGCGAGAGGCGGGGCAGAAAGAACCCCGCATCCCAGGCCGGGCGGCCGGGGCGCCCCGCCTTAGCCTTCCCTGTGCTCTGAAGGTCCCAGAGGGCTGCGTGTCCTAGCCTGGCTAGGAGGGCAGGGGCGGATCAGGGTTGGATAAAAGTCTCTTGGGGACCTCCTGGGAGTGTTTGGAAACTTTTCTGCTTTGCTGCCCTGGGATCTAGCCCGAGTGGGACAGAAGCCCTTCCTCCCCGGGGCTTTCTGACAAGTGCAGTGAGTCTTGGGAGGTCCTTGTCTCCACACCCTTGCTTAGGGACTCTGCAGCTCCAGGCAGTAGGTGGACCTGTCCCTTCTCTCCCCGGAAAGTGCGGCGCATTTAAAATCTGTTTGCAAGCGGGTTGGAGTCCCGGCCCTGCACCGCCTTCCACATCAGAGGCCTTGGCCACAGTGCTAAGTAACTCTCAGGATGAGAGGGTCCCAGTGTACTCTAGAGTCGGTGAACCCCAGCCTTGTATAAACAGGATACTGGGCCATGTGCTTGTGGGAGGGGCGCTGCCAGTGTCGTGTTCTGGGAGAGGAGAGGAGAGGAGCTCAGGTTGTCAGCTCAGCCCTCCTGTCAGCTGGCCCTGGGGTTCCATTTCAACTTTCTTAGCACATGCACCAGGGGAGTGCTACTCTGCCAAAACCTTCCCGGGGAAAACGGGTTCGGGAAAGAACAGACTTGGTGTTCTGTTAACAGCAGCCCTCTCTGCTTTCAGTACTATGAAATGTCCTATGGCCTGAACATTGAAATGCACAAGCAGGTAAGTGATGGCCTCTTTTTTAAAAAATATATGCTTTTTTATTTTTTAAATATATACGTGGAGTTCTGATGCCTCCTTTTGTTTGAAAACCAGCCTTGTTCTTCCGTTCTTCCCCATTCTGCTTTAGGAGGGAACAAAACGCGAGGGCTTGGCTGATTGCTTTGGACGTGTTGAGCTTTTCGCCCTCGAGTTTGGGAAGTTAAGTCCTGGTCTGTGATCTTGGTGGAGGATGGAGGACTGGAAGGGAGAGTAGTACCCCCAGGAACTGCTTTCCAAACTCCTGAAACCCCTGAGCTGGCCGGCTGCTTTTATCTGTTTTAATGTAAAATTCTCAAGAGGAAATGTGGGAGGGTTTTTTTTTTCTTTTTCTTTTGCAAAAATTGTGATGTTCTGCCTCGATAAGATTAAACTTCAAGAGCCTTAAAAGCCAGGCTGAGCTGTTGAAATAGGAGGGAAGCCAGCCACCAACTGCTTAAAAACAGAAAGCCTGAGTGAGCCCAGCTCTCTGCCTCACCTTTGGGAAGCAGCTTTCTCGCCTCCATCAGCTGCTTGCCCATTTTACAGAGGAGGAAGCTGACCTGCAAGGGTGAAGTAACTTGCCCCGGGGCAGCGCAGCCTGGGCTTGGGAGCTGGCTGGGGGCTGAGCTCAGCTATGCAATCCTGAAGTCAAACCAGTTTAGCTAGTGTGATGAATATGTAAACTACCTGGTATTGTCACTCTTCTAATACCAGTGTACCTCAGACTGCGCAAATACAAACAGCCTTTATCTTGGGGCATATCAGTAACTGGGCCCAGCGCTGGGCCGGGCTGTGGGCGAGGCCGCTTGTGTATTTGTGTTCCGAGGAGAGGCCGCCTGTAATTTGGCTTGGCCTACGGTTAGAGTTGACTTGGCACGCATACATGGCGCGGGTTCTTTTTAACAATTGGTGTTCTTGAAATCTCAGAAGGCTGTTGACTCATTGTAGCCTTTGGTGACCATGACTTGAATGGGTTTTCTGCTCTAAGTTAACAGTCCTTTACAAGGTGTAAGCTTTGCTCTTTCATGGGGCAGGACCCAGGGTAGGTGAGAAGGGCAGGTGACCCTGGGAAGCGCACAGATCCCTGCCTGCTCTGGTGGCTTCAGCCTTTTGACTTTGATTTTGAATCTGTTTTTTTCCCCCCTCCTTGCGCAGGCGGCCCTGGTGCTGGGTGAAGGGCAGCCCCGGAGGGGGAGGGGAAGTGTACAGGGCGGTGTGGGAGCTGGTGTGATTTCCTGAGGGACTGCGTCCTTAGGAAGGCGTGTGGGGGCCTTGAACACCGAAGGTAAACAGACACTGCTTTGTACGTGAAGCTCTCCTCTGCGGCATAGGCTCGAGGCAGGTTCTGCCCCACTCCAGGCAGAACCCATCTGCCTGCCTGGTTCCATAAGACGGTGTGAAGTGGGCCTGGGATCCCAGGTGGTCCAACGACCTGGGGTGTCCTGCGAGGTACCACTTCCTCCCTTTCTCCACCCGCTCTCTTCCCCTCAGTGCTTAGTTTCTTGGGTGTATTTAAAGAGGGTAATTGACCCAGGTTTGAGATTTATAGCAGCAGTTATTCTAAGAGCTTCGTAATGAAGGTGTAAGGTGTCGTCGCATGTTGAGGTCTGCATGGGTGGTGTTCTCGCGTCTGTGAGTAGCTAGTTCTTGGCACAGAGGATCCACCTTGGCTGGCAGAGCCGAGCTGCTCCACGTTCCTGGGATGCCCTGAACCCAGGAAGGGCTAAACATCTTGACACGTTTGGTGGTGGGGTTTGTTGGAACAGCACCGGTGTGCGTGCATCTGGGATTCCCGGGCATTCCCCAAACAGGGTTCTTAGGGGAGAATGCCTGAGGCTTGGCCACACTGTCCCACTTAATCCTCGTGGCCCCTTTTTATAGGTGAGGAGACTGAGGCTTCAGGGGAGGCCAGGAGAGCAGAGCTGGGACTCAAACCCAAGCCTCCAAATTCTGCCCCCGGGCACTTGACACTGCTTGCCACTCACCTTTGCCTTCCAGGCTCAGCTCCCAGAATGAACCCAGGCACTCTGGATGCAGGCGGTGCTTATTAGCAGTCTCTTGAGCTGGGTGAAGTCACCTTGTGGCTGTGTTGGAACAAAGAGGCAAGGAGGTGAAGAAACTCGGCCTGAGAAATGCAGCCCTGACCTAATGGAACTGGCCACTCCCCAGGGTTGCGAGGCTCTGCACAAGAAAACCTTGCCACTAATTGCAGTGTGGGTCTTGGGTGCATTTGGCGATGGTGGTTAGGCCTGAGCAAACAAGTTTATCAGCTGACCTGTTTAGCGGTTGACTGGTGTTTTATCTGCACACACAATCAAGTGACTGGGGTGCTTGAATTATTCATGCAGTGTCCTGCCCTCTAGACTTGACTGTTCGTGTGATTACATCTGCCTGGAACAAACAGGCTGGATTCTTCATCTGTAAGCTCGGGGGAGGGGGTGGGGACTGTCTGTACTTTTATATAATAGATGATCTACAGAGCTAGCACCTTGGGAAGCGTGGCCGTCCTCCGCCTGCTCACACACACATGCACGCGCACAGAGGCCCACACCACTTTTTTTTTTTTTTTTAAGCTCTTCTTTGCCGGCTCTTTGGGAAATGCCAATTAGCTGGGAACCTCGAGCCCTGCCAGATGGGCCTGGGTATTGACAGAGGGCAGCTGATGAGGTGCGGCCAGCCCGGCCCTATTTTACAGAAAGGCTGCGCTCCCTGTGGCTCCTCCTAACCTCGCTGTCTCTGTCTCCTGTTCTCTCTTTTTCCTAGCTGTCAAACCCTAGAGAAGTAATAAATGGTTTCTCCTCTTCGTCTTCTGCCTCCCTCCCTAATTATGGTAAAGTCAAGATTACAGAGTCCCTGGCCTGGCCCTGGACTTCCAGAGGTCAGCACCTCCTCCAAGCTCCTGCTTCCAGGCCTAGTGTCAGGGTGCGTCAGCGAGGCCCGGGCAGGGGCTGGGGGTACACAGTTCCCATCCTGAGCTTTGCAGTCTTTCCACTGTAGCCATCAGCCTAGAAACGGGCTCCCCAACAGCACCCGTGCGTTGGTTTGTTTTTGTTTTTTTTTTGAGAGGTTTCCGCTGTAGGGCGCGTGCGCTCGCCAGACAGAGACAGACAGAAAGCGAGAAATCATCCCCCGGGGGGATGGTCACGCCGCAATCCCTTCTCCTCCATTCTCCTCTTGGGATCTTGGGCATGCACGCACACGCGCCCGGCGTGAGTTCTAAGCCACCGGGTCCGGGACGTGAACCGCGGTCGACTACGTGGGAGTCCAGCGACATAGCCATTACGCTAACTGCTGGTTCCCCTGTGCGTTGGTTTTGAGACACGATGCCCCGATCAGCAGGCTCAGGCTGTGTTTTCACCCCTGTTGGTAAGCACTCTTAATGACTTCTCTCTGCCATGCATGAGACAGACAGCGCCCCTGACAGGGTCCTCTGGTCAGTGTGCTCAGAGGTCTCTGGCCCCTGGACCCGGAAGTGGTCTGACCTTACTTCGTGGTCCCCAGGGTGCCGTGTCGCCAGTGCACTGCCTCTAGCCGCTGGGCACTGTCGTTTGCACAGTGCACGAGGCGTCGTCATTTGGGACAGTGTCATACCCACCGTGTCCATCACCCTCTTCTGGCACCCCGACGACCCTTCCTCTTAGGTTTCTTTAGGAGTCTTGGAGTTGAGTGAGTCCTTTATGCAAACCTTCCGAGGTGCTGGTGAGGAAACGGGCCCAGAGAGGGTGCGACGTGTCCAGGCCTGGGGTCTCGCATCTGTGGTGACCGCCTCCCGCAGGCTCGCCTTCCGTCCTCAGGCCTTCTGAGTGTTCCGTCATGACCTCGTGGTGCTTTGTCTTTAATGACCGTCACATCTTTCTGTATTCGTGTCCGAAGGCACTACGGCTACACAGCGGGCTACAACACAGTTCCAAAGTACCCCATGTGGGGTTGTGTAACCAAATCAGCCGAACCCTGTGCGGGCGCGGTCCTGTTCCGAATTGCCAGCTATTCACGAGGAATGATTTGACATGTGGTAGGAACAGCTGCGTAAGTAGCAGTCCCACAGGAAGGGTTCCTGGAGCAGGGGAACTTGGTAAAGCCTGTGAGCTTCCTACCTGAACCCCGGTGTGGCCGCAGACGCAGCGCCAAGTGGGAGGTGGGACAGCGCCACTCAGCCTTCCCCTCTGCTCCCGGATCTGCTCAGGTGAACTGCAGAGAGCGTGGGTGGTGAGGTCCCAGGCCCGCCAGCAGCAAGCTCTGTGACCACGAGGGGGGCTGGCTAGAGGGAGCCTCCTCTCCAGCCCCTGCAGGGGGTCGCGAAGGCCCCGCCAGCATTGAGTGTTGCTTGGTGGGAGAAAGAGGGCCCACACTTGAAGTCAAAGGACATAGGTCCTTATTCCAGGGCATTGCCATTTGTGTGACATCTGGGTTACGCTGCCAAAGTCTTTTTTTTTTTTTATTTTTTTTTTTTTGCCAAAGCATGGACATCCCAGGGTCATGGACACCGTGGTTCCCACCGACCTGTCCTGCCTCGCTGCTCTTGCCTGGACAGACTCTGATCACAGGCATCTTCTCCCTAACCGGTGCCTTGCTGAGCTCAGCGCTCCCTTCCCCTCAGGCCTGCCTTCCGCCTGGGTCCTCCGGTCGCCCCTTGTGGGAGTGGCAGTTTCAGTGCTTCTCTGGGTCTTTTTCCCCTTGGACGAGGGGGCTATAGAAAGTTAGTGGGAAGTGCATCTTAAGTGCGAGTTTATTTTGGTGCAAACACACTTTGAAGTCCATGCGTGATTTCTTTCATAACGTGCACTTCCGTGAATTTTTAGACCCCTGCTGCCCCCAAACAGTTGATTATCACATCGACCGAGCGATGGGCCCTCCTTGTCCTTACCTTACAGAGCCAGGAAATTGAGCCTGGTGGGAATCCGGCTCCTAGCAAAGCTCTTTCCAGATCTCTGGGACCAGGAGCCGGGAAGGGTGCAGAGTCTTTCCCCTCTCTGGGCTCTCCC